AGATGCAGATGGTGTAGCACAAAACAAAGTGGCCAGTGTAGGGGTAACTGGTTTGAGCTTGCCAGCTGACAGACATGTACATGTATTTGAGGGAAATTTCCCACTTTTCCTGGAATTGTGGTACACATATGTTATGATCTTGTAACCCCCTCTGGGACTTGCCAGTGGTTTCCCCAATTGTGGGATTATCTTGAGCCTCCGCACCTTTGTACATCCCCCAGTTAGCAATCTATTATCTCAATCACAAAAACACAACTTTTGAAAATGAGTACCACAAAGGGCCTTTTTTCATAAAACCAGTAAGACACCTTTATTTCATTCCACATGATTTTTGGCCTCAGAACATGTATTCTTCATGGACATGTACATATGTTTAGGGGAAATTGTCTAATTTTCTGAAAACTGGGCTATGAATCTTTTTGAAAGAACGCTTTACTTTTTTCTAAATTATGGGTGGCCTTGAAAAGTTTACAGAAATTCTCAAGTTGATGTACACCTGACCAGGTAGGCTTATATTTTTATTTTGTAAACATCACATTGTATGATTCTTCAACTAAGCCATAGCATGTGTATGATCTAGTCTGTCTGACACCTTCAGATCCTTCCCCACTGAATCTAATTCATCCTTATCCTGTGTTCAGTCAGCATTCACCAGACTCACACCTGTGACATTCAGCTCCCTCATCCGGGTCCACCTCAACAACATGTCACTTTGCCTCCATTCACCAGGCCAGGAACAAAGGAAAAATATACAAATTTCCTTGTTAGGTACAAAACAGCTCCTTTTTACCAGGCAAGGCAATGTGTGCACATTGCCTTTACTTTGTTTCTGGTGATTGTTTTAGATTCAGTTTCATTTTTGGTCCAAGATGAAATAAAACAAAATAGATAAGAGCATACAAAGGAGGAAGAAAGCAGAACTTCTTTTGAGAAAATAATCATAGATAAAAATAAAATTGAGTAGGACACAAAAGAGAGATAGAACAGAGGAAAGAATAAAAAACTACAAAATAAGACTAGTACAACAGAGAGAAGGGAGTGGTTCATAGGTTTAGAAATATTAATTTCAGTAACCATCTCACTGAAACCCATAAGGCCCAGGACAGGTGAGCAGATGGGAAGAGGCCATCTGTTAAATCACCATCTTCAATTCAGATATCTGATGATTCTCAAGGGGGGATGTGCGTAGCTGAGCAAGAATTTGATGGCTTGAAATGTATGATAGTAACATATGAGATAAATGAATACTGGCATGCATAATTCTTTATTATGGTCTCTCACTATTCACAAAATATCTTACTTCATGTCAACTGATGCATATTAAGCAGAAACCTTTCCTGGTAGGTTTAATTTCCGCAGGCACCCCCCCCCCGTTACATCCACAAACTACAAGCAATGGCGTTTGTCATGGGGCTTCAGAGGAAGAGGTTACAAATGTGTATACATGTGAGGGTGTTTTCTTTGATGCAGCAGTGGAGTTGTTGTTTTGTTATAGACTGGTTAAAGAATAGCAATCTGCACAAATTGCCTCCCTTTTTGGGGTGGTGAGGGCACATATTATTTCCAGAGTTTCACAAAAATAACCCAAAATGGTATTCTCTGACTTCTGTAGCACTTTCCAGAAGGTTTCAACAGACATGATTGGTCAATTAGATTTTTGTAAAGGCATCTGAACCTCTGTCACACATTGACTGTGGTTCAGATTTGTGAACCACATTGGCTAAATCAAAAGTGCATAACATTCATCCAAAAATCAAATCACAACATCTAACCAATGAAATCTCAGGATCTTCAAACCCAAACACACCTGAATTAAGACTGACTTTTCTTCCAGAAAATCTTGATTTTTTTCATAAAAAATAGTTACATCTCAAATCTGGTGTCCAGAAAGCTGGGAACAATAACCCTTTTCATCCTCCAATGCTTTGAATCTATCTGCTTACTCTTTCCAGCACAATCCATACTTATTGAATCATCTGCAAGATTCATCCCTGGTCAGCCATTATTCCTCAACAAATAATCCAGTTTGAATCAAACAAATATTGAGTGGATCATTCAAGATTTTAGAAAATATTAGAAGCATATTTTCATTCATTATTTCAATAGTTTTATTTCATGCGTTTTAAATGGCTTGGATTCTTTGAATTACATATTCTCTTCATTTTTTCCAAGTTTACCCTCTTCAATTATTTCAACTGATATTCTGATTTTCTGACTTATTTCTATTTTGCCTTAGTTAATTAATATCAATTCCATATCATATCTCTAAGACTCACATAACCATTGCCCAATTTATTTGAGATAAAATATCTTCAAAAAACTTTTAGATGAAATACCTCTCCAACTTTGAAATTATTCCTTGTGATTTGAGTACATTGGGCTGTGAAAACCTCCTCAGACATAGTAATCTTGCAAAAATGGAATCACAAAGGTTTTTGTGGTATGATGGCTTCACAGGAGTGGCAAAACTGAACAAGCAAAATTTATTCTATGCAGATACAAGACTATTTCAGGATCAAGAGAATATTAAAGATCTTGGCAAAATTGTAGCCACAAGTTCCCCAGTGATATATTCATATGTGTGTGTTTGGGAGAAGTAGTTTAACTGTGATCTCTGGAAGGGCTCACCAAGGGCCACATTATTTTTTATTTTCATTATCATTCAAAATTTGCTTGGGTCATGGAAACACCCCTTTTAATTCTTGATGACTGGAATGAATCTTCTGCCTTTAGTTCTGGTTTCTTTAGGTCAGATATTCTCATCTGATAGTCAAACTATGTCACAGTTTACCCAGTCATATCTAATCATCATCATCATGCAAAATTTTGTGAAATTATAATAAAACCAACTTGGCCATGTAGGGCTCAAAGAAGATGAAAAATAAGAAGAACATTCCTCCTCAAATCCCAAACCCTCTTTGGTGGTGAAAACAAATGACCTAGGAGAGTTCCCACCACCAAATAAGATTTGAATCTTGGTTTAGAAATCCTAAATGTGAAATCACAGCCAATGGGAAGAACACCAACCCTTCTCATATATCTCTCATTCCAAATATTACATCTATAGTTCTGAGAATACCAAGTTAATTGAGGATATGCAAGACTGAAAACAGCTGCTTTGAATTTCTTCCCAGCACAGCTGCATCAATTGAGCTTGCATTGAAAATGAACCCTTTGAAGCCTTCCAGAAAGAATTTTATTTTTAGAAGTTTATATTTCAGCGAGGAGGCCTCCTAACTAACTGAGTGATCACAGTTTAATTTTTTTCGCCAACGTCATGCGCTGAGATGTCCGAGCGGTCTAAGGAGCTGGATTCAAGTGAAAGAGAGTGCTACTCCCACTTGCGTGCATCGCACGTGTAGTTCCCAGTAGGGCAACCTGCGGGGGTTCGAATCCCCCTCTCAGCAACTCATTTTGCTCCCGTGGGCGGTGTGAAAAGCTTGCGCAGACCTCCGTTGAAGTTTTTGGCAAATCTTTGAGCGAGGAAGAGCGTCTTTTGCGGCTGTCTTGAATTGTGCTTATCGCATGTTGCAAGTCGCTTCAGGCGGCTTGCGATCGGTTCGCACTGTACCCACCTCCTTTTGTCTACTCGTTGAAGCGCTCCAGAGCATTTTCCAACCCATATGGTGGTAGAATTATCGGCTCGGTGAAAATTTTTCACTCCGTCCGATCGCGTTTGCCACTACGTTTGAAGTGTGATACACAGAAAGCAAGACACGTCAGACACATCGTTGCATGTGGAAAGAAGTAAATCAACGCCCAGCGAGGATTACACTACCGCAGGACCAAGAAGTTGAGGCCAATCAACACCTCTAACACTATCACCGCCGCGCTGCCATCACCAATATCACTTTTAAGCGTTGCGAGGGCGTGCACGATACACCGCGGCGGCCTAAGTTCAGGGGAACGGGACAAAAGCAGTCAAAAGGAGCGGGTCTGGCCGGGAATTGAACCCGGGACCTCACCCATGCTTAGTTACTTGCCCTAAGGGTGAATCATACTACTAGACCACCAAACCGGTTGGGACAGCACCCGAAAAATCGCAATTTGACGTCCTGCCTGTCAGGGGCTACCTTATTTTTCTTTGAGTGTAACTTCACCTTAGCATTGCACACTATGAATCTGTAACCTGTATACAACATTACCCAACCGCACAATATCCTTCCAATAAGCAAAGGGACTTGCAATAGCAAATGAAATGTTACAAAGGACGCGCGGAAACAGTATGAGGACTTGGAGGGGAACACACCTAACAGTGGTGAGGAAGAAGTGATTTTGGATTGAATGAAAAGAAAAAACTAGAGAAGTGAAATTTCCGCATCATGACATTTCGGGGGAAAGATTGTTTGATACATTAGGGGTTTTAAGTTGAGCCAGAAGCAACTTGCCTCCATTTTTGCATGCCACTTGAGCTGCCAAAATTCACACAAATGGTTAGATCTGACTGGGATGACATGACTTGCATGAATTTTAGAAGCGTAATCTGAACGATTTGCTTTTCAAATCAAATTTCCTTAATTCAGACAAGTCACATGCACTCAACTTTAGTCCTAGTAATTCTCAAGGTTAGTCTTTGATTTTCACAAGTTCAAACCTAATCATCTGTTTGATCAGAGCTTGTTGTGAATTTGGTTAAATTGAATATCCTAATGACGGACCATGTGCAGCTGCTAGCTCACAACCTTTGAGAAACCACTAGATCAATTTTAAGAGATTTTTGGATTGAATTACAGAGAAAACTTGTGTCATCCTCCAAGATTTTGTTTTGAAAAATTCAACCAGTTGAGGGTTGTGTCCTAAGTGATAGGGGGTGCGGTAATGCTATAGTAGCTGATATTTAGGTGTGAACAAGTTTGCAATCCAGGAATGTAATCTTCACACCTCCATATGGTATTGACCTTGAACTATCTCACATGAATGTTGTGGAGGAAGAAGCCACTGTAAAATGATTTCTGAGAGCTTATCTAAGTTAAATTTTCTTTCACCTTTTTGTTGGCTGTGAGTTCCATCAAATCTGAAGCCAGAGGAAATTGTCTTGAGTGTTTTTTGCAGTCAAATAAATCAAGAATCGGATAGAATAAATTCTTCAATTCTTTTGGGGAGCTTTTACTCTTGCGTAATGATGTGTCTTGGCACTTGCATGGTTACAAAACCATTATACAACTCTTTGCCTAATGGTTTTTTGATTATCATAGGTTTTGAATTTGAGCTTACAGAACAATGCATTTTCACAAATTTTTCACAAGATCCAGGAATTCCATGTGCAGACTCCACAGGGAATGGTGCCATTTCAAAGTGAGAATTATCGCGAGCCAAGATGGGCATTGAATCATCAGGGCATCCAAGACTTCATTCAAGTTAAATTTGATCCAGAAAGCTGCAATTTTCCCCCCTTCCCTTCACAGAGAAAAATGTGGCCATACCTAACCCTAACTCAAGACCAAGTACATTCCAACAGAGCTTGATTTTTTAGCAGGGGGCAGTCAACAATGATATTCCAAATTGTAGCATAAAATCATCAAGCTGTTATGAGCATTCAAGTGGACTCTCATATGTATAAATCCTATCATGTACATGTCACAAAACTCATACTTATAGTCAGCAGGGTTGAGATCCAGACCTTTCCCTCATCCTGCAATCTACCATATGGGATCCAGAACCCCAGAGCCTATTTTTTCTCTCCGAAGAATCAACCATAACACAAACAGCTCAAATAATCACATAGTTTGAGATTATTGACAGGGGGTTATCAACAGGATCTTGTATATTGTGGCAAGTTGTGTAGAGTGTTCAAGACTGAAGAAGATGTGGCCACCTCTGCAGCACTCATTCTGATTAGTCTCAAGGTTTCAACCGGTTAGGTTTGACTGTGGGGTACTCTTGACCGTCTGATGCAGGAAGATCAAGCTTCTCTTATTGTTTTCCCATCAAGAACCATCAATCACTAGACTCTCAAGATTTTAAGAACCATCAATTTAATCAATTGATTTGGGCCACAAGCCTTAAGCTGAATCAGTCAATTTCTCACTTTGACTGATCAGTCAACATTTATCATCAACTATCCTCAATATCCCACAAACTCCTAGCAATGTTTGTACTTCATTATTTCTCTTCTTTCTCCTTATGTTTGATTCCTAAATTTCTGAACTCTTTCTTCCTTTTTCAGACTACCTGTCATTCTTCCTCCATATTTTGATTACTACCATCTTGACATCCTTGATTATCTTTGTTTCAGAAGTATGTGGTGTTTTCCTTTATATTCTCTCTTCTCTCTCATCCTCCTCTGACTTGGCTTTTCTTCATTTTTTTATCTAGTTTGGTTTTAGACTTTATCAAATTGCTGTGAAAAGATTTCATGTCGAGTCAAGGGTGCTGATGATTTTAAGTCCAAATCTTGAATGTACCATGCATGTTCTATGACATTTCATTATTTTGAGCAAACATTTTGAGTACCATAAATAGCCCAAAATTTGATTTTTTTGGTCAATTAGCCAGGCTTGACTCACAGCTGATGTAGCTGCTGTGATTGGTGAAGCTGTTTAATATGATAATTTAATTCCACAAATGCTAATGCCCTCTGAGACCTCATGGACCTCAATGAGGAGGAGATAGATTTGGACGAGCTGCTTCCCATTTTACTTGCCAATCAACAAATAATGATTCAAAATAGCACGATCCGCCAGCGCTTGATGCTCGACACGAGCAGTCTGATTTAGTCTTTGTTGCACTTCTCATGACACACAAACAAAAAAGAATTGACTCCATATGAAATCAAAAATCTGAAAAAGAAATGGTACATAAAGCAAATGAGAGTGACTGAGAGAGGGATGGAATACCAATAGATGGTATGTAAGAGAGGCTGAATCGCAGTTGATGACAATAAAAAGAAAAACACTCAAAAAACAAGCAGAGTTCGTAGTAGAAATGGGGATTAATTATTGGCCATAGGTGGCACATCCATCCCCGGACCGTTTGAGATGAGGCTCTTGTGCCCTATGAAATTAGAAGAAAGAGCGGCACCACTTCCACTTGCCACACCACCAGCCCTACAACAGGTGCGCCATACCAAGGGTGAATTCTGACCCAGTCTTTGTGCCGCATCGGCTGATGTTAGAGAGGCCCAGATCTGATCTGACTGGTCTGCGGACAAGGCAATAAAGCATCGGTGCTTCGGCATCCTCCTCTGGAACGGCCTCTGGTATGGCTCTTGTAAATTATCCTTGCCGCGCGTTTTCTCTCGTTCGAATGGAAGCGAGAATAGTTGCCATGTGCTGTCCCCCCCTCGCGCCTGAATCTGTTTAAGAAACATGTACTCCTCTACTGAGAGAGATATTTGTAACCCCTAGTTCTTCCCCTGTGCTTGGATATTGCTTGACCGCATAGCAGGTATGTTCCTCACCAGTTGAGATCGAAGCACTCATGAAAGAGCCTCCTCACCCTGTTTTGGGTTATCATGACGTAATCGGCCAGTGCTATTTGCTCAGCTGTGGTTCGACGCTAAGTGAAATCAATCATAATCGAATGAAAATCCTCTTCATCACGGTGATCTCTGGATGAAAAACTCCACCTTTAAAAACATAATGAAAGAACACCCAGCGATGGGCGAAAATGCAGAACTTCGTTTTTTTCTTTTGTGGTTAGCCCAGTTTGTTTAATACATACTGTTAAGTTTGTTGTTGGATGCGGCTTCCCGCTCAAGCGGGGCGAAATCTTGGCCAAGTTAAGGCACATTGGAGGTCAACAGTCGAGCAGGCCGAGAGGAACGAACTTCCGGACGTCACTCGATCACTGGTCGCTTGCTTGCTTCCATTCCAACCCTTGTCCTCCTTCTTCCCCCTTCTTCAATTCCTCAAGACAACTAAAATAATACTTCCCACTTCCTCCTGGCTGTACAACCAACCCATTGCCTTAGTCCTCCTGCTAGCTCTCGCTTGCCCGTTGACCATCTCCCTTCCATCCCTCATCTCCATAACGGTTTCTGTGTTGTAGATTCTCACTACACTTTTTTTTCTCCATCGAGCCATCTGCGCTCGAACTTCATCACTTTAAAAATACATTTATCATATCGTCAGGCTTTTCCGAGCAAGCCCCACGAACCTCCTTGGGCGTGATAAATAGTAACAAGTTTTTTGAATCTTTGATAATCAAATCCATCTTCTATTCATCAGAAAATACACCCACAAACAAAAATCACACAACATCTTATAATCAAATTCCACATTCGTCATACTATCCACTCTCATCTCTTGTCTCGAACCACCATCAACATACTTCAATTGAACTCATAACTCGATAACACGTTCCCTTTCTATTTTGTATTCTCAGCCAGCATTCATCGAGCTTCTGGGCTCGCTTTGGATCATTGATCTCAACTCATTCTGATCGGTTCTGAGTCTCCATCTGCCTCAGTCTCTTCTCAAACCTCAAAATGTCTACCGTACCCGCGACAGTCAGGGAAGTGGTGCGTGTGATCTCACACATCACATGCCAAAATTTTGGGAGATTATTTTTCCACTCAACGCTCGCTGATCATCTGGTACTCTTCAGGGCGAAAATCCCAGTCCAAATGCAGTGACTAATCCAACCGATAGGGAGCTCAAGTCCAAGGATGAAGAGCGAAAGATGCGCTTGTTAGTACCTTGAAAACTCTCCTCGTTGCCGCAGCCCTCTTAAACTTATCCACTTGACTGTCCTCACAGCTACGGCATTATCCAGGCCTTTCGATCTGGAAAATATCCATCAAATGATCAAATTAGCGAATCTTTAACATACGCCATCAAAAACTCGCCCATCGATGAGGGAAAATTAAGCCCGGACGGGAAGCAGCTCATCCAGGATTTTCGTGACATCATTGAAACATTCAACGTGATAATCAAGAAGAAAAATGCGGATGAGCTGATGCAAAATTTCTTGGTAAGGCTCATTGAAATTCATTTCAGAATGCCTTTTCGAAGCTTCTGACATTGTTTTCCGCTTGAATCTCGTGTTGTGTCTTGCTCTGATCAACTTTCAGTTCCA